GGTTCCTTGACCAAGCCAATGTCTTATCTTCTTATCTTTCATTTGAGTTCATTCTTCACCATTTTTTTCTGTTTTGGACGAGAGCAAGGAGAGGCAAAAGATTGAAGAGAGTTTTCAATTTTCAACCTTGAATCCAACCTTTTGAGTGCAAACAAGAAAAACTAAACCGATTAATCACTAGTTTGGAAGCTTGGGAAGCTTAACGAACCAAAAATTTCAAAGAATCGATTAACACGGGTTCGCGTGACCCCTCTTTTACTTTCCCTGAAGCAAGGGTTTTTGTAGCTTGCTTGCCTTCTTCACCGGCGCTTGCCGGATGTATCCCTCATCTCGCTTGTTTTGAGGTATAATGGCTGATCACCCTTTATTTCTCCATTACTCATGATTAAGTTGGGTATTAAGTTTAGAATTGTGCTTGTGATGCCTATTTCAAGTGGTGTTGATGATTGGAGTGATGAATTTTAAGTTAGGGTTTTGATTGATTTACTTATAATTCCTTTTGGTTAGGTGTTATATGGTATATAATCTTGTAAAGGAGAAAGTAGTGGTGGTTTTAAGGTAGAAATGTGAATTATAGCTTGAATACAACAAAATTTCAGATTTCTGGAAATTGTAGTTTCAGTTCTGCCTAGTTCCAGTTCATTATGTTATAGGCTGAATTAGGCTTAGTACAAAACATGAAGGTTGTAGAGAATGACATTTTATGATTTCCTACAAAATTTCAGCTCAATCGGAGAAACGTAGCTTGTGAAAAGACAAAAATACCCCTGACTACCATAGGTTAGTCCAATGGACAGTTTTAGCATTTCATCAATCTGATCGTGTCTTTTCACCTTGATACGTACAGAACTAGCATTTAGTCAAGACATGTAAGTTGTAGTGCTATGTCTTAGCTTTCCAACGCCCTTAAAAACACCTTAATCGGACTTCGGTAGCCTGAGTTATTGCCGTTTACACATAAGGCGGTTATCAAGCCTGAATGTGAGATTCTGAACCTGTTATTTGAGATTTTGACTTAGATACACTACAAACTGGACTGAGTGGTCTTCATCAAAGTTGTAGGCCTTTGTCTTAGGTTCGAAACGGTATCAATTATATCCCAATCCGATAAGCGTAGCTTTGGTTGTACTCGTTACGCTAAGTGACGGCAAATCTGTCTTTTGATTTATGCCTTACATTTCATTTCCGGACATGTACCTAGTTTAATTTTGTATTTGTATGACTTTGAGCCTATTGAACGGCTATTGAAATGAGGTTATTTTATGTGTGACTTTGGGACTGTTTGAGGAAAATATTGAAACCATAAATGGCAGGAAAATAGGTAAAAACAAGGGACATGCCGCCAAAGTTTCACTAGAGGACTAACCTAGCCTTTGGAGTTCTAGTTCTATATTTTACAAATGTGACTTGAATACACTAAAAACTGGGTCGAGGTGTCTTCATGGAAGTTATAACCTTTTGTTTAAGTTTCGAGACACTACCTAATACATTTTGATTCGATAACCACAGCTCCAGTTATGGTCAAAAATCGTGTAACCCATTTTGTACTATTTTCATTTCCGCGCACGCGCACGTGCATTTCTCAACCGTTTTTGCCATTTTGAACCGTTTAAGATTATTTTTATTATTTTGTTACCATTCCAGGCGTTTCGGCCAATTTCGACATTCTTTTGGCCTTAACGTCATTTTTTACCGTTTTTAATTATTTTTGACCGTTTTCGACCATATTCGATCGTTTAAGTTATAAACTGCTATTGTATGGCCGTTTCACTTATGTATGTATATAATCTATCAATACAGATTGTGAAGTTTTTGACGGTGACGGTCAAACTCAGTGAATTTTATCATTTTTCGTGCCAAGTTTTATCAAGTGAGTAATCGGGTTGTTATTAATGTGGAATTGTTAAAGTGCTTTATATTTGTTAAATAGGTACTTAGGCGAGGGTGTACTTTACTTCACTCGATCTAAGCCCATCCTTTGTTTTGATTTCCTATGTGAGAATACATGTCTTATATTGAGTATCACCTTTTGCTGTATGCTGATGAGGGTGATTAAATGACTTGAGTATCACCTTTTTGCTGTGTGCTGATGGGGATATTTACATGACTTGAATTAAACCCCTTTTTACTGTGTGCTGTTGGGGTAAGTATTTTGTTGTGTACTTTGTTGAGAGATCGGTTATCTCAGGGCTTGGTTCCAACCCGGTTCCAAGGGTTGACGAACTATTCGAGCCAGCCGGAGCTTGGTCGAAGATAGTTCCATGCTAAACTTGGGATTTAGTTCTTTGTTAAAGTTTTGACGAAAGCTAAGTTATTTTGTTTCGCTCGAACTGCTGTATGCTGTTGAATGGCCAGCAGGGGTTGATAAGGTGAACGGAAAAAGTTAAGTGGAATCTACGGACCATGAGTACTTTGGTTGACGAAATGTCAACAGGCGTTCAAATTCGGGGAATTGAACTGGTTTTGGAGCCACCCGTATCCTACCATTGTGATGTTACTTTTCTGTTATTGGTGTGAAATATCTTGATTTACTTGTTTAATTATGTGAGTTTACATTTTTACCCCCGATTATTCACTAACCATATAGTTTACCCCATTTTATTTGTTTTCCTTAGCAGGGGGCCTACGCGGGGGATCGCTCGAAAAGGTGTTTAGTGTTTTGATTATAGATGAGTTGAACTTGTACTTGTTATAAGTTGACGAGTAAGATGTATATAGTTGTCGTGGTGGCTGTAGTTATCAGCTTTTCTAGCGTTTACTTTCTGGTACTCATGGTATGTATGACTTGATGCACTAGTTTATGCAACTTTTGAAGATGTAATCATTTAAACAGAACTTTCTTTTGGCGTGAATCTATTTTCTAGTTTTAGAGTATCGAGTCCTGGCACGAGTTAGGCAGGCGTCCCACCGATACTCTCGGGTTCGCCCTTGGGAGAAGTGGGGGCGTCACATTCTCCTTTTGAGCTGCTACTTCCTTCTAGCTCCTTCCCACGGTCACTGACCTTGGCCATCAATTGAGCCATCATGTTCATCATTCCCTCATATTTTTGATCCAATCCTTTCAGTAATTTTTCTGTATCATCCTGTCTCCATTGTCCTGATGGCTTGTTCCATTCCCTCATTTTTGTTGGTAAAAGTCCTGACCACACTCCCTAGCTCCACCCGTCTCTTCTCAACGTTTCATCTTGGTGTTTTGTCATCCCTATGACTCAAAATCGAGCTCTGATACCACTGTTGTGGTACAGAACCAGAAATATTGCAGGAATGGAAGTAATGGATTGACAGAAAAGAATAATCTACACTCAAGCTGAATCGAATTCAATAAACACCTTCATTTTTATTGATAAGCTTCAAATTGGTTACAGAAAAGGAATTGGCGGGAAAAGGAAGAAGGGGAAAGAAGAAGGCAGGAAGAACTTGGGGAAAAAGTTAACAGAAGGGATATTCTCCTTTCTGATTACAATAACAAAGATTTTAACTGGATGATCCCTAAACAATTACATGATCATATCATTTATAGAAAGCTACTCTAACTAACTCCTCCCACTTGCTAATGAAGCGGTTGTCACGTGAGAGAGAATCTTCTGGATCGACTGGTCCGAACCATCAGCAAGAATAGCATGAACCCAGAAAAGGCGGGCTTCCCTGCTCGCGTCTTTTGCTCTCCTCGCGCCTTCTCCTTTCCTGCTTTCACGCCTTGGTCTTTCTCGTGCACTGCTTGATGATTGACTTCTTCAGTTCACGTCTTCTCTTTACAACCTCCTGCCTGGCCACGCCTCCCTTTAGTTTTACTTCACGCCTTCTCTCCTTCTACACTTCTTAGCTTCTTACTTCATTACAGCTATAGAGTCCGACTCTTTGGCTCTCATTCGTATTCTTAAGGGGATTTTATATGTATTATTGGTCTATTCAAATTTTTTATTTTTGGGAATGAAAAAGGTCAGGCGGGGTATGCCTAATTCCTGAGGATTTCTATTAGTTTCGTTTTTAAACGAGGGATTTGTCCCACCGTAATGTCACCAATTGAATTTAAATTCTATTCGTAATACTGAGAATCACAAGTCCAACTACTGCTAGTCATAATCCATTCATTTTGAAATCAAAGAATTACAAAAGTTATGTCTAGACCTTGATTGCGTGTCACATTTTTTCAATAAAACTAATATGCCTATTGATTTTTTATCCAAAATTGGATGCTCTAAGGGTTCTAGAGTTGTATGCAAGTATTTTGCTACTCTTCCATGCATGTTTAGAGTAGTTTAGAATTGATCGTCTAGGCTTCTCTTCACTTTGTAAAATTTGATCCTTGTAGTACGAATATTTTCTCTTTTTCTTTAATTTATCCAATCTTGTTTGTTTTTAGATGTTAGATTTAAAATTAATCTTTTATACATTAACAGTATATACACTTTCACCGTTGAATACATGACACATAATTTGAATATGAATTTAAAATCCAAATTTTATAGATATATAGTACATCTAACTATAATAGTGTATACACTATCAGTATATATAAGATTTACTTGTTAGATTTATATCCTCCATTATATTATTTGGGATTGGCATCCCTTTGTCATGATAAACAATGAAAAAAAAAGAGTGGGAGAGACTTCTACATTCCATTCATATATGATAAATCTAAAGTAAATATCTTGTTCATATATTTAAGAGTGACTGATTTAGTGGGTAACAGATTAGTTTTCTAGTTGTCAATAAGTGACTGATTTAGTGGATGTTTTGACTAATCAAGGGTATATTAGGAATAAAATTAAATGACACATATTGTAATACCACAAGAGCTCCCGAGCATTATATATCGTACGATGTACATGCCATTCCTTTAACTGGCATACTACAAATTCCTTTCTATCATATTCAACCCAAATTCAAGTAAAAACGTGACAGCACCAAACCTCGTCTAGGGTTGATTGGATATAATGCAAATTGACACTAACGAAACAACGAAATGTCTAGAATTGAAGATAAACCCATGGTAAGCCAAAAGCAAATTAACATTTGACACACTCCGATTAACACAATCACATCATCTGAAGAAGCAAATAGAAGTTAAGCTAGCAAAGTATCAATGAGTAGTTACATTGATTATGATCATGTCAAGAATCCAAAATCCTATATGACAGTCCAGTAAACTGAACATATTCAACGGTAGAAAATGGATTAGGCATATGAACTCTGAAGTTTGCAACTACTAAAACAGGATAAAACTTTGCACAGTTGACAAAGCTAATTTTTTAGACAATGAATCACCTAAATTCCTATTTTAAGTTTTCTTTTCCTTTGTGGGAGGTGGAAAAAGAGCTTTGAAAACCCAAGCAGCCAATATTGCCCCAGCAAAGGGGCAAATCCAATAGACATAGAACTGCTCCCAGGTGTTGTGCCTGTTATTTATATACGCCCACCCAAATGCCTGCAAAATTATAACGAATGTTGTGCCAGTCATGGAGTGTACAATTTGCAGGACGATTTTGAAAGTATTTAAAAATGTGACCTTGTCAAAATGTATAAAACAAAACAAGATAAAAGGAATTAAGAACTATGCTGAAAGTCCCCAAGCTTTGGCAACTTCACTCTAGTATTAAACTTCAAAGAGTGCCAAATTGCAGTTCAAGATACAGAAGCTCTCTTAAATGGCTTTTCATCCAACAACTTCTCAATCTCTTTTATAACCATTGGATGAAGAATAGTCTATAAGTTCCTCCACCTTAATGAGCCTTACCAAAAGTTGTTCATAGTAACCCCACCATTGAATGTGGAAGTTATGATGCAGTTTATAGGCCACAGACGCTTCATGTCATGGGGATTAAACAGGCTTTTAGAAAAAGGAATTGGAGTGTCGACTTCTATATGAACTTGCCCATTAAAAGAATAGGAACAGTTGTCTCTCTTTCAGTAGATGCTTATAAACATCTAGAAGCAATCAATCAGGTGCATGCAAAGTAAGGAAGAGAAAAAAAAATGGAGTATGCAGCAAAGAGTTTTTTCAAAAGGGATAAAAGTTTATGATTAAATTATACTGAAGGTAGCAAGATGTAATCATAAGCCAGTTTCAATTCTCTCAGTATTTCCAAGCCCTGAATATCCTGGTTTAAAACTCAAACTCCACAATTTTTACAGTATGATACTTTACATTTCATTTAATAACCAGGAAACACAACACCCAAATTGCAGCAGGGCTTCTGTCACAAGTTACATAAACACAATTACAGAAATCTAAAATTCATAGTTTTCAGATGCAGCTGCATTTTCATGGTTAGAGGAGTCTGAAGAGCATTGGCATCTAAAGATAAAGAACTAGACCAGAATTTTTTATCCTAAAAGAACATATTTGGTCATTGATAGTTTCTCGCTATCTTCTACAGTTCCATTAGTTTGAGGCACTCTGGCTATATTATAGTCTAGCTAGTTGTGAAAATCAGCACACTAGTAATCCAGAGATCAAGTTGGAGAACAAAAGCATTATGTTGTGGCACCACTATTTAAAGTATTTGACATGGTTCCTCTAAAAGTTCCTTGTTCAGATGAAAAAATCAATTCCAAATCTGCTAGATGTCGAATTTAGACTAAACGATAGGAATAATCAAGTAACAAGACTTACATTGGCAGGATTCATGGAGGGGCCAGTGTAGCTAGAACCTGCAACCACTAATGCAACAGTTGACATGGAGAGCAACCAATTTTTTAAAAGTGGGCTACTAGGTCCCCTCAGGACGATTAAGAGTACAAGAAAGGTGATTGTAAACGTCAAAACACCTTCAGCAATAGCACCGGTATGCAAGTCAACCTTCAAAGAAGGTCCTCCCAGCATGTGTTTATACTGCACCGGCATAAACTCCTTAATAGCAAGAGCACCACCCACTGCACCAGCTGCCTGTCAAATTAAGAAGTCAGTTTCCAAAATCAGTTTGAATCATCTTAAAAAATTCCCTCGTACTCTTGTTTAATATCATCATTATTCTGATTCGCCAATTTTGTTCTTTTTGCCTTTACCAGTGGTCCATTTGCTTTGCACCTTTTCTTTTTTTTCCCCCCCTTTGAAAATTTTTACTTTTGGGTGAAAAGAACATACCTTTAACTTCCTGCTTTGGGAACAACTTTTCCAGAAAATATCCCCAAAGCTCTCACCCAACAACTATGCCTATCCAGTTTCCCCAAAAAAGCAATCAAAACGAGCTTTCACTTTCTGAGCTAGAAATATATATATATATATATATATATATATGCTAAATATGTTCCACAAACTCTCTTCCAAAAAAGCAATAAATGAAAAACAAAACCCAAGTCATGCTAACAACTGTTTAATCAAAATCCAATTTCCATCGTGATTCGTTTTTTCGGAATTGCCGGACTAACATGGGATTCAATTCTAACAGAACAAAGCACCAAGTAATTCAAATTCTTCAAATTAAGCAAAGAAAACAAATACACGAATAAATAAATGAACCTGGGCAGGGAAACGGAGGGCGGCGGAGAAAAGAGAGTTGGAGCCACCAAGACCGACGGCATGAAAGGCGGCGGTGGCGGTGGGGTTGAAGGTGGCTCCACCGAGGGCATCACCAATGATTGAAAAAACGAACAAGAAAACAAAAACAAGCACCGTGGTGATGAACAGAGAAGTTAACCACTGGGTCTTAGCCACCCCAAGAGCAGCAGCAATCAAGGAAGTTAGTACTCCCAAAGATGAAGCACAAAAAACCCACATGAAAGTCAACAGCCCATCAGCAATTGCTGCCTTTATCACACCCATAACTGGAAGATTCAACTTCTTGGTGATGGCTTCCTCCTCTTGATTCCTCTCTGGTTTTTTTCAGCGTTCGATTGAGAGGAGGAAACGGAAGAAAGAGATTAGGTGAGGATGAATGGTGATAATTGCTATGATGATGATAATGATATGATTAACATAAACACGGGAATAAGGGATCTGGAAATTCGGTTGACTGTTTGATAGAAGGCGTCCACATTGTGCGCGCCTGTGGTACTTGCCTTGTCTACCTAATTCTCACTGGTTTACTACTTTTACTTTGCCCGTGTTTTGCTCTGAAAAGGAAATTCTACGCCGCCAGGTGCAATTGTGGAAAGTCAATTTGTATTATGATGATTATTTGTTTTATTTTATGCAAGGCCAAAATATCAAGAAGAGGGTGTACCAGCCTTAGAGAGTTGGGAATACTAGGGTTTGTTTGGATTGCTTCATATTTTCCTAATTTTATTTGCTTACATCATATTTACAATTTTCAATACACTTTTTTATCTTTTCAATATCTTTTTATCTCACATACATCACATCACAAAAAGTGCTACAGTAAAAATATCTCAAATAATCCCAAATAACTTACAATCCAAACAGACCCCTAGGTTTGCTTGGATTGTCATCTACTTTTGAGGCAAAACATGAAGTAAATAAAATGTCGTACAAAATTATTAAAAAAAAGAGAACCAGAAGTGTTTTCTAATTTATTAATCAAAAGAAAATAAAAAGAAGAAAACGAACTATAATAATGAAGTTGTTTAGGGGACTAAGATGTAGATTGGTTATATATGTTAGACAATGAAATGGGAAAGAACCACACATAAAAGATTATATTGAATACCCGGGATCTTCTTTAGTGTGGTATTAGCGGTTTATACCACAGAAATGGTGTTAGACTGACACAAACCAGTACGGTGTATATGGTTTGGTCACATCTATTCCGTACAAAGATAGGGAGGAAAGAAGCTAAGAAAAAATATACAAAATAACCGGCAACCGAATGCTTGAAATAAGGACCAGCATGTCACGTGACTACCTAGTTGGAAATTTAGTTCCAAAAGACGGGATGGCCAAGAAGGGATAAGAAGTTGTCCACACCTCACCCTTTTACTCTGTCAGCGGCATAAGCATAAGCAGAAGCAGAGGCAGAGAGTATCAAAGGAAAAATCAGGAAGACAAATTGGGAAGAAACATGGAGAAGAAACAATTTTTGGCAATGACGTAGAGTAGATTAGGCGGAGAGAGACGTGGAAGGGGACAGACAATGCACATAGTTTGCCGGAGTGACTAAATACTGAATAGCTCGTGCACGAAGACCGAAGTTGTTTTGGAGTCCAGGAAGCATGAGTGAAACAATGAGCATATGGTCAAGCATCGTTCATGCAGCCCATTGATATGCAGCCCATTCATACAGCCCATTGATATGTTCAAGCATATGGGTTATGTTTGATTTGTCAAGAGGACGCCATACTGTATTAATGTATTATCAGTAAGAAGCCAACTTATGACGTGGGCCATGTATGACCATTTACAATCCCACTGAATCTGGATTTGTCCTTTACCCTCCCACATAATCATTTAATTAGGAATTACAATATTTTCATGCCAAATAAACAAAGAAGTGACTTTAAGTTTGATAATCATTACTTGTGGAAAAATTGGTGCTTCCAAATGGTTGTTTGATAATTTACCTCAATTAAATAAAGCTATGACAATCGTGATTACTTTGTTTCATATAAGGTACTTGGAGGTAGGTAGATTGAGTTAAGCAAGTAATTGTTGTTAGGGGTGATCATTAGCCACTGACAATCGTTTATATGTGTTAAATTACATTCAATTGATCCAATTTAATGCAAAACTAATTCAAGTTCTCTCTTTGATTACTAATGATTTTCATTAGTAATCGTTAATTTTTGAATTAGATTCAATTATTCCAATTTGTTGCAATTCTTGTCACATATGGGGCATCGTGAAACTTTAAAGGGTAAAACAAAATTGTCGAATACGATCCTATTGCTATGACAATCGTAATTATCCTATTTTACATAAAATCGTTAATTAGTAGGTAAATTTAGTTAAGCGAGTAATTTAGGTGATAGGGGTGATTGTTCGCCACTAATAACCATTGATATGTTTTAAATTGCCTTAAATTGGTCCAATTGAATGCTAAACTCCACAAAGCTCTCTCTCTAATTAATAACGATATTTCATTGGTAATCGTTAATTTTTGAATTATATTAAATTATTTCAATTTATTGCAATTCCTGTCACATAAAGGGCATCGTGAAACTTTAAAGGGTAAAACAAAATTGTCGAATACGCTCCTATTGCTATGACAATCGTGATTATCCTGTTTTATATAAAGTCGTTAATCAGTAGGCAGATTTAGTTAAGCGAGAAATTTAGGTGATAAGGGTGATTGTTCGCCACTAATAACCATTGATATGTTTTAAATTACATTAAATTGTTCCCATTTAATGCTAAACTCCACAAAGTTCTCTCTCTGATTAATAACGATACTTCGTTGGTAATTGTTAATTTTTGAATTAGATTCAATTATTCCAATTTATTGCAATTCTTGTCACGTAAGGGGCATCATGAAACTTTAAAGGGTAAAACAAAATTGTCGAATATACTCCTATTGTTGTGACAATTGTGATTATCCTGTTTTTATATAAAGTTGTTAATTAGTAGGTGATCGTTTTTAACTATTGAATATGATTACCTACCCAAAACGTGTTTTTGGGATAGATCCATATTAATTTTTTCAATGAAATTGACTTTGTTCACTTAAATTGGGATGCTCCATTATGTGTATTTGATTAGAGTCTACAAGTTATACATAAGTCTAATAACATATTAGAAGTTTCATTAACATTTCGCAGTGATGAAAATCTTTTTAGTCAAGGTACAACTTCCACTTCTTCCATTACAATTTTTTTGGCCCATGTTTCCCAATAACCTGTACTGTTTGAGTTGCGTAACCGGCTCATGTGAGTCCATTAGCCTGCCTTGATTTCTGTGCTTTCTTATGCCCTTGATTTATTGGTCTGTCACAACTTTACCACAAATATGGTCTAAAACACTATACCATATTGTAGAATATCCCTTGAATACCCAGTACAATATTTAGCTAGTTAGGTGCTTTTCACATGCCGCCGGTACGCTCTGGTCCATTGTGTAAGGTCACTAGCCATTGATCAACGGCTAGCTTTAAAGTTTGCCTTTTTTCTGTTTTTTATTTTTAAATGTAAATAAAAGTTGGTCCGTCATTTCCACGAGACACGGCGAACCTTATTTGTAAAATAGTCCCTACTGTGTGGCAGGGACCTCAAAATAAATAATCAGCTCGACGTGTCTATTTCATATTAAAAAAAAAGGCCCACGGTAGTCATATAACAAGAAAACCCCCTCTACCCAACTATTTTTTCAACTTTTTTTTACCAATATTCCAAAAAATTTGTCCAACAGAATCGATTCCCCATCAGTTAAATGCTCCTCCTATCCTCCACCCCATATCTCACTAAACCATCCCCGCTCTGCTCTACTAGCTATCCCTCATGGTGCCCTCACCTCGCCTTATTACTATTTTTTTTAATGTGGCTTTATTTTTATATATGTGTAACACTAATACTAGATTTATTACTCATTCTTTTGAAGTTTCAACAAAAAAAGTTAACTCGAGATAAAGTTTAAAAATTATTTTAACCTTGTGAATCCATTTCTCTTTGTTTGATATAAACTGAATCCTAAATCAATTATAATTATTTTTTAATAAGCAACATGCCATAACCAAAAAAGAAAAGAAAAAGTAAACTAACATGGAAAAAACAAAAAATTGTAATATATTATCACAAGAAAATTTCATATTATTCATTTGATATTACATGTTATAATTATATTATATATATATATAAAATATTAAATTAAGGCGGGACGGCGTGAGAATATCCTCCCCTAGCCCTGCCTTGTTTAAAGTGGGTGGAGAAAAATCACCCCAATCTTACACTTCTCCCACTCTATTGAATCGTATGAGACCATCCACTTTTATTGTCATCCCTAATTAGAACAATAAAAAAACAACAAAAACCTTGTCTTGGCTTGTTCATTCGGACCGAGTCAATATAAAGCTGGACCGTATTTCAAGTAGTGTAAATGAGCGACCAGGATTAATCCAACCCTTCTAGAATTTACAATTCCGTGAACAAATTTGTTTGGGCTCTTGTACCAGAAATCGTGGCAAGATCTGGATTACTCAAAAACACTAGCATCAATAATCTTGAAACGCCATTTAACCATAGAACAACTAATGGAAATGTAGTTCTGTTTTCTATAATTATGCCGTATTAGGTGTGAAAACCATTTAGTATGATATACCACCTCATCAGGACACGTATTTCAAGTGTTTTTGTTATTTTCATTTTTTTATTTGTTTTTGTCTTGTAGAATTGAAGCGAGAAACAATCAACTTCAACTTCGACTTCAAGCAATTTAATTACGTGGAGGAATCTTGAGGTTTGACCGGGAAGGGCAAAGAGCAAATGAATGATCAGGCTTACTTGCTGTGCCCTCACCGCCAGGTGGTGGATTGTTGACAATGACGCGGATGGAATCGCCCACGTCATAGGTGCTCGCTCTCGAGTCTTGTCTACGTCTTCACTTATGACTCTCAGCCATTCTTTTCCCATATGATTATATGAAGGCCAAGGACTATTGGACTTAAATCTTAGTGAAGAAGAAAATGCTATCCTCGTTTTCATCGAGAAAAATCTTTCATTTCGTAGACTTAATGGGGAAGAAAATGGCATTTAGACGAAAAGACGAAGAGAAGGGTAAGAAAATGTGGATTTCTTCTCCTGGAACATAATTGCCATAACAAGGCACGTTAAATCCTCACATCTTTTCTTTAGTCCACTACTCTTGTCAACAGTTAGGTAGGCCTCTGATGAGGAAGGGTTGAATTAAGCGGCAAGTGGGAAGGATTATAATTAAGAGATTTTGGATTTAAAATTTTTTACTTAAAAAAAAAAATAGATCTTGACAATTTTAATCTTCTTGGCGAGATGGTTAAACTTGTCTTTCTTTTTTTTTTTTTATTGTTTTGTATTACTCAAAGGATCTAGATTTATAGTATCAAATTTTAAATTTGGAATTCTTCATTATTATATGTAGGATTAAATGCACTAAGCAATTAAAAGTTTGGTGATTTGCACTTTTGCTCTTAAATGTTAATTTTGTTCTACTTTCCTCCTTAACTAATGATCACTCTAATGATTTG